AGGAATAAACCTAACCAAAGAGGCAAAGGATCTGTACTCAGAAAACTGTAGAACACTCATGAATGAAATTGAGGAAGACACAAAGAAATGGAAAAACGTTCCATGCTCATGGATTGAAAGAACAAATACTGTTAAAATGTCTATGCTACCTAGAGCAATCCACACATTCAGTGCAATCCCTATCAAAATACCATCAACTTTTTTCACAGAGCTGGAACAAATAATCCTAATATTTGTATGGAACCAGAAAAGACCCTGAATGGGCCAGGGGAATGTTGAAAAAGAAAAACAAAACCAGTGGCATCACAATTCCGGACTTCAAGCTGGATTACAAAGCTGTAATCATCAAGACAGTATGGTACTGGCACAAAAACAGACACACAGATCAATGGAACAGAAAACCCAGAAATGGACCCACAACTCTTTGGTCAACTAATCTTTGACAAAGCAGGAAAGAATATCCAATGGAAAAAAGACAGTCTCTTCAACAAATGGTATTGGGAAAATTGGACAGCCACATGCAGAGGAATGAAACTGGATCATTTCCTAACACCATACACAAAAATAGACTCAGAATGGATGAAAGACCTAAATGTAAGACAGGAATCCATCAAAATCCTAGAGGAGAACACAGGCAGCAACGTCTGTGACCTTGGCCACAGCAATTCCTTGCTAGACACGTCTCCAAAGGCAATTTAAAAAAAGGAAGCAGGAAATGGAACATCAGAAAAGTCAGATGACTTGTTCAAGTTCATTCAGCCACTTAGTGTCTGTGGACCAGAATTTAGGTTTCTTATTTCCCAGATGAGTGCTCACCTCCCACAGTATCTCATCAGGAAAAAAGAGGGTGGTGGGGAGGGAATGTTTCCTCTGATCTATAGTGATTTTACAGTTCAGGACTAAATCTGCTCTATAAAGTGAGGAATAGCTAACCGTATTTCCTCTAAGTAGGTAGCTTTTCCTTATAGGCACTACATTGTTACCCTGTTTAGTTTTTTGGAGGAAAGGAAGTTGTTATGGGTTGAATTGTGTCTAGAAGTCCTAGCCTCAGCAATCAGACAACAAAAAGAAATAAAAGGCATCCGAATCAGCAAAGAGGTCTAATGACCTCTTTGGTCTAATGAAACTCTAATCCCCAATATCTCAGAATATGACTTTATTTGGAACAGGGTCATTGCAGATGTAATTAGTTAATATAAAGTCATCCTGGAGTAGGGTGGGCCCTTAATCCAGCATGACTATGTCTGTAGAAGATGAGGAGAGACTCAGAGGAAAAATACATAGGAAGAGATGGATAATACTGGGAGAAGATGGCCATTAGATAAATAAGGGAGAGATTCCAGTGATGCACAAGTCAAGCACTGCCGAAGGTTGCCAGCTGCCACCAGAAGCAAGAAGAGGCAAGGAAAGGTCGGCTTCAACAGACTTCAGAAGGAACATGCCATAATTTTGTACTTCTAGCCCCCAGAACTGTGAGAGAATAAATCTCAGTTGTTTTAAGTCTCCTGGTTTGAAGTATTTTGTTAAGGCAGCCAGTAGGAAACTGATACCAAGGACAATGTAATGAGGGAATTTATTGGGCTTTTCCTGATCAGTCTGCTGAAGGCACTCAAAGAAACTCACCAGCCCGAGGCATTTGTCCACTGCTTCCCTTACACAGCATGCACTCCTATGGCTCTTTCTTCACAAGGGTTTCCTAAAGTTGACTCTGCAAATAGAAGGAGGAAAAGTAAGGGGAGAGAGTATTTTCTCCTCTGCTTTTGTAATTTGGGAATTAACAGTTTTGGAAGAGAATGTGTGTGTGATTTTGTTGTTTGGGTTCCAGGTATGCTTTTATAGGCTGCCAGCATCCTTGTTTACATGATGCGTATGCTGTCTCTTAGTTTCCTGTTATTTTCCTGTTGTCCTAAACATCTTGAGTACTACATTTTGGGATTCAGATCTGTCAAGAGGTGTAGATTATAAAAGTGTGTCTTACATTTGAAGGTAGAAATGTTGATTTCCTTAAAAAAAACAAAGCAGAAACTGGCTGCTTATTCTAGCAGTTTTTTTTTTTTGCATTTCTATCATTATTTAAACTATTAATTCATTAGAGAAAAATTATCTAATAAGTACAAATTCCTATATTCAGTAAGGATCAGATAGCTTCTCCTTTTGGCAAAAATTCATGTCATCTAAAGTGCAATAATTTGCTTTCATCCATTGTATTGACACTGTCAGACTTATGTTAGGACAATATGTTTATATAGTCTTTCACATCCTTCTGTTCACTGGTAAGACTGTTTTGTATAACTAGTAAATAGATCTCTAAATTATACAAAGATGTTTTAACTCAGTATTTTAACTTTATTAATGTTCCCAGAGACCTATCAGTGCCAGAGGTAATAATCCTTTTGTTTAGATTGGAAATCGATGTTGAGAACTTATATAAGTCTTCAATTTAGAAGTAGCAAAAATCCATTTCCAGTTAGAATTAACTATAATGTATCAGAAGTTCCTAATGTCATAAACACTTGTTTTCTTTAATCACATTAGGCTATATACTCTTTTACGCACATATAACTATTTATATACATATAAATACTAGACCTATTCTAAAGCCACTTTTTTTTCTTTTTGGCTCTATAATACCGTGACTTCATTTACCTAAGTTGGTGTCTGTAAAGCTGGTTTGAAAAAATATATGTTTTTACTTGTATGTTTAACTTCGTGCTGTTCAACGAAGACAGTGATACTGATTCTATTTCCAGTTGGGCTTGTGCGTTTGGATTTTTAAACTACTGGTTGTCTTGAACTTGACATATTCATGTGTTGGATTTCCATATTCATGTATTTCCCACATTTTCCTAAATTTTTTTCTAAAAAAATTGCAGACTATATTCCTCAAAAGTCAAATTAATTTTCTTATGTCAATAAATTTTTCTCACATGAATTGAAAAATGCATCTCCTATTGATTTTGAAATCAAGAAATAAAAGGCAGAATATTTCATCATTCAGTCATGCATGTTTTGAGAAATGCTGATTGTTGTTATAGGAATTCTGAAGGTATAATATTTATTATTATAGTAGTTACAAAGTTGTATATCAAAAATATCAAGCCATATACAGGTTTTGGGATTTAAAGTGGCATGATTGGGGCACCTGGGGGGCTTAGTCGGTTAAGCAGCTACCTTTGGCTCAGGTCATGGTCCCCGGGTCTTGGGATCCAGTCCTGTGTAGGGCTCCCAGTGGAAGGCCTGCTTCTCCGTCTCCCTCTGCCCCTCCCCCCTGCTCCTGCGCGTGCACACACACACACTCTCAAATGAATAATAAAATCTCAAAAAAAATAGGCATGATTATTTTTCACTTATTAAGTACCCCAAATCCTCAGCTCAGTTAGTTTGGGACTCATGAAGACAAAGTTGCCTGTTGTGTCTTCATCTCTTAATTTTCTTTGGTGTGCTACAGAGCTTCTTAAATTTTACTGTACTTATACATTACCTGGGAATCATGTAAACAGGTATTGGGTCAGTATTCTGGGATAGACCTTGATATTCTGCTTTTCTAATGCACTTCTTAAGTGATGCCATTGTTGCTGGTTTGGACAACACTTGAAATAGCAAGAATATATAGTAACCTTTCTTCTCTCTTCTTCTGGAAATAGATTTCTATTGGGAAACCCATTCTATGTGGCATGAGACATGACCTAGATATTGGCCAATCAGAATCTCCCCTAACAAGTGATTTGGAGAGTCAAGATGATTTTTCTTCCAGGAGCTGTAGAAGTTGGGGTTATCTTTCCTGGCCCATCTAATATCAAAGAATAAGGCTAATTTGAAAAAGGGTAAGTGAACAGAGATGAGAGACAAGAGTGTGTCCTCAGAGCATTGTTTGGATTTCTGGATCTGAATGTACTTAATATAATTCATCCTTGGAATTACTGGTTAATACAGTTTTTTACTTAAGCTAGTCTGAGTTTCTCCCTCTGTTACATTTAATCCTGAAAAATATACTAAGCTTGGCCATTCATTAAATCCTAACTGGTGATAAAGATTTTGGTAAGTATAGAGTCGTATATAACTTGAAACGTACTGACCTAGAAATATTCTAATACAAATTTAGAAGCAATGTGGTTCATTCCCAATGTTACAATTGACTTAAGAGAATTATTTACCTAAAGATGTATAATAATCTGCCTTCTTGATGAAGGGGACTTTGGATACCTACTTTTCCACTTTGTAGATGAAGACATCAAAATTCACACATCTTGTTTAAGGCTACATCTGAAGTTACAGAACCCAAAACCTATGTCTCCCCTTCTCATGCTGTAATTCTTTCCTGAGTCATTTATTCCTTATTGTATAAAGACATTGTGTAGATTGCTCTTATTTCCATAAAATTGATTATATTGTCTAAACATTTTTGTTAACACACTTTATATGTGTATACACATTTCAGAATATGGGAGAATCATATAGTAAGGCACATGTACAACTTGATAGCTGATCTATAAATATATAAACACTGAAATAATGTTATTTTCTAAATGTGATCCAAAAGTACTTCTGGTTACAAATCACTGTCAAATCCACACATTGAGAAAAAGTACTGTTGTTTAAAAATTCAGAAAAAAACATTTTTGTAAGATTAGTTAATTTAACTTTTAAATTTATGTGCTCTTGAAGTACTAGAAACTTGGACATATCACAGCAAGAGGGAATTGGTGCCTGAAAGTGAAACTATTTTACCTGGTTAAGTTTGGTTCATATAGAGGACTGGAATTTATATAATGAACTTATAGGTTTTATTAAAAAAAGCATCCATAATTTGATGAATTATTAAGCCAAACACTGATAAATTAGTATTAAAAATTCCTTTAAGGCTTCAGTAATTCTCTTTGGTGGCTTGAACCAATTCTTATCCAGATTGGCTTACAATAGAGTTTAATTGTAGTCCAAATAGTGTTTGCATGTGTGATGAGTTACTGACATGATCAAGATTCAAATAACTCTCCAAACAATTTTACAAAAAAGAAAAAAACAAAACACTTTATTTTCCACAAGGAAGAGCAATAGGAAAAATTAAATCATTTCCCACATATTGTTTTCTTAAAACAGAGCCTACAAGGACATATTCAGCACCAAATAAAACAGGAAAAAAAAGAGAAATTACAAACAGCCATAGAATATAATCTATAAAGCAAACATTTAATATTGCACTTTGTTTTGCTAATGTTTTGGATTTTACTTTTCCTCATTGCAAAATCAGGAATCTATCTTGAATACTGGAATACAACTGTGAACCTCACATCTTATGTCAGGAATTGACCAATATTTAGAAAAGAGTAAAGTAATGCCTCTAAATAAGAAAGTAAAGAAATACTTTAATGGGGTAAATAAAACTTTATTTGATAAAGTTTTATATATTTAAAATTTAATCACATTTTATTTTGTGACCCAGTGCCAATTATCAGAATATTGGTCATTCTTGCTTCATGTGTTATTTATAAGAGTATATGGTGATAAGTATTCCAATGCTATGCATATCAACAATTGTTCCCTAGTCAGACATAAGAGAGAAAAGGGATTTTCAGACAATCCCCCCCAAACAAAAATAAAACCACCAAATGCCCTTTATGCCAAATATTCCATTAGCTTCTTTTGAGGGGGACATTCACAAAATGATTTAACAACAATAAAAAAATATTTCACCCCCATTTCCTTATTATCTAGTATTAGTTTGCTACGGGAGCCCAAACCCTTTACTGAATCACTTAAAACGCGATTCGTTTTTACGCTGGGCTTTCTTCACCCTGTCAGCATTTTTCAAACATGAATTGTCTTCCATGTTTTCTTAAAGGCCACTTATGGAAAAGCCTATTTGTTTTGTATGAAGCTTTAAGACAGTATTTAACCAGGTCAAGCACCAAGCCAGAGTTACTATTTTCAGCCACTTTATTAACTGTGGGGTTAAATGGCAGGATAGATGTAACACCCATTTCACACGTATGTTGCAACATCACAGATGCTGATTTTCATTAAAAACATCAGAGCTGAATTCCTTCTAAAATAAGACCATCAGTACACTTGGTACCTTGGAAAATGGTTTTTAAGTGTCATCATGAATGCTGGTATATTTGTTATGAGCCAACTGTAAATTATCTTTAATATAAACTATAATTTACTGATGTGGTTGCTCTTATCTATATATACTCAAAGTGAGTGGTTTCTCATGTTTAGCAAAATGTTCTTTAGGTAATGGAAAAAATACTTTCACTAGAAAAACCACAAAAATAGAAAACAGTTCTCATTCCAGCACACGTTCTAGTATTTATAATTTTGAAGTTATACAGTTTTAGAATAAACTTGGGTTTTCAAGCTCTGAGAAGCTTGAGCAGGATAGGAAATGTATAAATTAAGCTCTCTAATCGTAACCTGAATATATATATATATTCCTGCTCATTAAAACACTCTGCACCAGCAAAAATGATTTCCAACATATGTGTTTTGGAGGTAATTAAGTAACTCTGTTATAAAAATAAATGCACTTTCTCCTCCTCTCCAGTGACTGGAAAATTTCCATACTCTTAAAATAATAAAAATAACAATAATTTTTAAGAGCAACAAGCCCTTAACTCTTTGCTGGTGCCTGCCATACTGCCTATCTTTACTCCATTCTTAGCTCTGCTAGTTTCTTCATGTAATGATAAAAAGGGAATGTGGGTGGGGTATCACTTTTGTGTATGTCCCTTTTCCAAATTTCCCTCTCCAAAAAGCCAACCAACCAAACAAACAAAATAACAGTGCAACAAAACACAAATAGCATTCCAACAGTTTGGCAAGTGATGCGTTCACCTGAGATTAAGTGATTTTAGGCAGTCAGTAACAAAATGCTGCTTTGCTGTAATAGTAGAAAGGCAACAAATTCTTAAAAGAAACCAAGAAGGTATACAATCTTGACAAAGTCTCTTATTAGCTTCCTCCTCTTATCTCTTTTCCCACATATCTGTTGCGTATCTACTACAGTAGGCTGCAAAACATACAGCAAGAAGGATTGGCTTGAAGGCATTTGATGTTTGTAAATAAATCCACAATAGGATCCAAGCTGAAGAGGTGATACATGGTCAGCCTAGTAGGACATTTCTGAGCATGTGCATACGCAGGTAAAGTCCAGGCTATATTAAATTAAAAAAAAAAAGTCAGTGCGTTTTTTTCATGTTAAAGTTTTTTCAAAGCTTTCTTTTGTTCCTTGTTGTGCTGACCACAAACAAGTTTTTAAAGAGTATCAAGAGTCTGGCATAAATGGAAAAAAAAAAAAAGCTGTAGTGACATCGGAACTGCACAATGTAAGCATTGAGCATGTGCAAATTTTCAAATAAAAAGAAGGAAATCATCCCTCTTTACAACGTGGTGTCTTGACACGTATGACCATAGGCTAAGAAGACTGCTCTTAGTATGTGCCTGTTTTAAAGGAGAAAAGCTTAGATCTTCAAGCATGTTGGAGCAGTCCCAGAATGTTGCTGTAGGCTTCTAAAGCATGATCACTGGCTGTTTCATGTATTTGCCATTTTTCTGGGCAAAAGCAATTCCACTTCCTCTGAAAACGTGTCTCCAAGATACTTCTCTGTCCTCAGCTGGGAAGAGATACAGTTCAGAACCCACATCAACTTGATTTAACCAAGTGTTCCTTCAACGAGAGGGGCAGGATGGTCTATCATCTGCTGACTGATCAGGATTTGGATCAATCTAAAAAAAAAAAGTGAAAAAAAATTACAAAGTGATTTGATAAAGTCTAGTAAAAATGCAGCAATGACGAACATTGTTAAGTATTACTGAGGAATTGAATCAGAAAGAACATACACAGCATGTAGGGGAAGGGAGAAAAGAATACTAGTATTATCTATAAAGTGTCTGATATTTAATTACTAGATAAATAAAATTTATAAAGGTATGCCCAAATAGTTTTCTTTCCCAAAAGCTAATGGTAAAATTTTACCAGGGAACGGTGTTTCACTCAGCATTTAGTAGTACTTAAGATTCAAATACACAGTGGAGAACATTTTCATAGTAATGATCTCCTTTTGTAAAGTATCCCTTTCATCCTTTTACAAAAAAGTCAATTCATCTCTTTTCTAGGCTTTGGGAAGAATGCAGTTGTGTAAACAATGTTCTTGGAGCTTATTTGAAGTAATAACCTGTGAATGTAAAACCCCAGAGAGGGCCTAGGAAAACTGTATCAAGAAATAGCAGTGCTGAACCCAAAATGCTCTAGAGTCTGCCCACCTTCTCTATGACTAGAGAGACTTTCATATGCACATACATTTAAGCAAAATGAATATATTTCAGTTGCTTCTCAGGTACAGAGAGAATGGGCACAGGAAGGCAACTAGTTGGCTTTAATACATTTCTTTTACTGAAACATCTTTTGGACAAGACCCATTTTTATTTGCATTTAAATGTGGCACAATCCAAAGTGACTCACAAAACTTTAGGTAAAACATATTTTTGAAGGAAAAAAAGCAAGTAACTTTTAATGACTTAAGAGAAAAACACTTTAATACAATCTGGAACTTCCCCCCTTCTATGTAACTATTAACTGAATCACATTCTGAATCAATTTAGGATTTTAAAAGTTTTTAATTCTCTTATCTTTAGTTCACTTTAAGGTAGTAGAATTTTGCCACAAATTGCTTAAAAGTGGATACTGAGATTGCCATTCTTTTAAAATGCCTGTTGTACAGCCAGAAAGTCTCAGATCAAATCAGGAATTACTGACTTAAGATAGCAACATTGGCATAAAAATGTAGTAATGAAATCTGTACTAAGTGGGAGAACATTTTTAGCATGTAAGGGAAAACTTTGTGAAATGGAATTGTGGGATAGAAAAATTATGGCTAATGAATTATTTGCAAGAACAAATTCTAAATATCCTATAATCAAGGAATAAAGTGGATCTTCTATTAACCACCTCTGGAGGAAAATGGACTCTTCTAGTCATGATATTAAGGGGGGGAAAGCAGCAATTTCTTGCAGAGTGAAGCAATCCCATTCGGGTCTTATTTGGGAATTAATATTTCATTGTTAAATAGCTAAACTGTGATAACCAAAAGGATAAGGTCGATTCTAGTGTATTTACAAAATTACTTGGCATTATTATGGGTAGGTATCAAGGCCAACTTTAAAGCCCTGCACAACATATATTAAGATGTATTCTGAAGATTCGACTTAACAATCACCTTCCCAGGGAAGCCTTCCTGATTTCCAAGGCCTAATGAACTGCTCTTCAAATGAACTGTGTGCATTCCTATCCCATTGTTACGGAATATTTTGCTTCTAAATTTGTTCTCATCAGTCTGTGAGCTTCTCCCAAGTAAGAGTCATGTTTTACTCACGTAAATGCTTAGTGGTCAATATGAGATGAATAAAAATAAATGGTGTAGAAATGTTTGTCTAACATATTTTTTGCAAATGTTATTTTTCCCTATGACTGGGAATGTAAAAATGTGCAAGAATTAAATTGGAAAAGGATGATAAGATAAATTCTAGCTACTTAATTAGTTCATGATTGCAAAATGCCACTCCTATTGATGCTTTAACATATTAATTATTCCCTATTTCCCCAATAATATAAGAATCCTACTTATTAAATTTAATGTTTAATCCTGTTGCTCTAGGTTATGTTTCTCTATTAAATATGATGTTAATCAAAACCTAAATGTATTTTTTAAGAAGTCTGTAATGCTATATTTCCCAGGAGAGTCAGCCCATTTCAGACTTGAGGAGTTGTGCTTACTTCTGAATAAAGAGGTGGAGGCAAGAACCGGAACTCCTGGATATATGCAAACAGTGGTCCTTGAAGCGCTCTCTCAAAGTCATCACAAGCACTCACTGGTGCAAGATTGTTACGCCTTTGTTCCTCCGTTACCACTTCTGCATAGCTGGGTGGTGCTGAAGGAAAAAGATACACGCAATTCGAACAGCATGTTCTTATGCATGTCAAAATACACAGAATAGTAGATATTAAAAAGGAATGTCAAGGTAAAAATAGTAATTGTTTTGTGATTAAAACTAGGGGGATATGGGTTTTAAATCTGACATTAGGGACACATCTACTTCCTACAGATACAGACAAAAGTTTATCTAGTCATAAAATATTATTAGCAAAATTATGTTCTTGAAAATAGTAATAAAGAAATTAGGCTTAAATACGCATTATCAAATTACCTTCAGGTCTTTCACGTAGGGATAAACCAAGCCAGTTCATATTCATGCTACACTGACTGCTTACACTTGAGGTTCTGCTACCAAACGGGTGTAGAGGAATGGTACCAATGACAAGGGGCAAATTAAGAAATAAATCCATAGCTCCAGGAATATCCACATATACCTAAACATTGAAAGGAGATGGTAGGTTTAAAATTACAAGCATTATTTCTTTTTTTAAAAACTAGTAACCCAATTTTAATGTTATCTTAGGCCTTCATTTACTTATATATACATAGAACATACAAGAAAAATTCCTCCACTACATGTAATACTGTGTGGCACATTTACATGTGACATAAATTAGTAATTGTAACTCACAGATTTACATATACTTGTGTATATCAGATATAGAATATAAAAACCAAATCCTGGAATAAGAAAAAATGATATCCTCATGACTTTAATACTAAACAACAAACCCTTAAATCTATACCTACCATTAGTGAATATTCCACACGAATTATGCTACAGTCGAGGATAGAGGGAGAAACTGGTGGAATTTTCAGCAACTTTCCATTCCACGTATCCGTCTTTCCAGATGATAAGGATTCCCCACGCAAGTTAGCCACAAGCTGTTTTACTTCCTTCATTTTCCCTTTGGCATAGAAGGCCTGTGTTTGGTAAATGGCTGCCTTTGGCACTACCATTCGGGAAGAGCAGTTCTCAATCTCAGCAAATATCTGAATTGATTCACCTAGAGGGAAAAGAATATGAATCTACTGTTAAGCAAAAACAACCAAAACTCCAGAAATGTAGATTGTTAAGCCAAAGTCTGAACGTTCAATGGACTACATGGATGAAAAACAGTCCCAAAAGTGGCAGGTAACTTAGAATTATAAAAATGAACTATTCATTTCTAGTAGCTATTTAAAAATGGACACTACATTCCCATTTATGAAAGAAAACTGGGTTATTTTACCAAAGGATACTGTATTATGTTTGCATTTAGTAAAAATACTATACATTTATACACAAAAGCTAAGTGAAGAAAGATCATTTTCATTGGGAATCCATCTCATACATACCTGGGGTATAGCCCTTCCTTTCAATTTTGGCACTTAAGGATATTGGGCCTGAGGTACAGAACCAGCAACAGAGAGTCTTTTCTTTTGTGCCTGCTTGGGGTGACTGTAAGAAATAAATTTAGAGAAAAAGGTCAATGCACAAATTAGGACAGTGTGACAGAACGTTTTAAAATAAAACCCTAAATTCTTGGAGAATTAAAATTACAAGCAATGTAGCTTTTTTCCAAGTGTATTCAAATATACTTTTTTAAAAAACTAATCAATGGCTTCTGAATTATACAATAATTTTTGTCTTTATATAAATCTCCATCCAAGGGCTTAACATCATATGCCATAAACATAGTTTTAGCTCACATTATTTACATATACAGTAATTAAAAACAACCTATCAAACAAAAAAACCCTTTCCACATTCCACTTCAACTGCCTTAAAAAAAAAAAAAAAAAAGGCAGCTTGGAAAGCAACTTGGTTATAATCCCAAATGTTAACATCTTTCTTCGAGAATGTAAAAATCATTATGTGAAAAAAGGAAAACTCTCATTTTTAAGATTCTTATTTGCTTAAAGATGTTATCACTTGTTTAAACCAAATAAAGTTTTTAAAGTCAAATTTGATCTCATGAAAAAATGCAATTAAAAAGGATTTCTTTTAAAATAGAATTCTTTTTTTTCACGAAAGTGACAATCTCCCCATCATTTGACAACTATCCCTATATTGGAATATGCAATGCAGTTCAAATTTTAGATTATGATATTTTCATAGTAAGTGATATTGTCTTATAATAATTGATACTACCGTTCCTCCTCTACTAAAATTATCCAGGGAATAGATCTATTTTTTGTTATTCTTTTAACTTCCGAGTGAGAGTTATTTCATACCATATGCTGTTTTTACTTTTAAAATTTTCTTAAAGTTATTACAATGTCAGAAAATATGAGCATTTTCTTCACTAATTTGTGTGCTCTTGACTGTATTTTTAAAAATAAATTAATATTTATGGAATTTAAAATCACTATTTTAAAATTATACAGATTGCATAGTTTAGGTGATTATTCTTTAGTATTTATATGCCAAAAACAAAGAATGAAGAATTCAGTCAATTCTTACCAGTAATGAAGGAGTGTTGATATCTATATGCTCAAAGACTGTAAATTCCTTCTTTAATTTTACTGGTAGAAGCCAAGGCCTGTGCAATTCGGCTTTCACCCAATAGCGCACACTGCCATGTCGGCCTTCGAATGAGGTAGCAAGTGGTCTGTGCAGAATATAAAGTTCAATATATTAATTTTATACCTCTTTTTAATAATTATACAGTAGGTCAGCATAGAAGTGTTACTATATTGCACTGTTTATGTACCAATGAGGTATCAAACAGAATTTTTTTAATTTCCAAAGGGATAAGTCATTGGGGAAAAAAAAAAACCTGTTTTCCAAAAAACAATAGCTAACACTAAAGTATTAAAGAAATTTTGCTTTAAAAAGCCAGAAGAATACAATTCCTTTAAACTAAGAAGAGGCTACTTTTAAAGCTGGTGGCAAAATTATGAAAGTTTGGAAATCAATTCTTTAAAGATTGAAAATTTAAAAACAAAGTTAAGAATGGTTTTAGTATTTCTACTGAGAAATTCTACAGACTGACTAGGAATTTTCTCTCTTTTTATAGTAACTAAGAAGGTCTAGAAAATGCCTGGAACAGCTGTTATTAATTTCAAAAATTTCACCTTTTATAAAGTCTACTAAAAATCTAAAAAGCTGCTTTTCCATTTCTAGTTTTCTCATGTTCTCTTTTTGGCCATGTTTTCTAACTTTATAGGCTTAATAAGAGAAAGAAACATTTCTATTAATATGTATCAAAAGAATCGGAACTGGTTTTCAACTCTCCCAGATTTTATTAATTGTGGAAGGTTTTATTTCAATTAAGTTTAGTCTCTTTTTCATAATTTCATTAGAAAAATGCCTAGTGTCCAGTTATTTACTAACTTAGATTAACATGAGAAGTAGTGGTTTTTACAGAATTTTTTTTTGCATTTTGGACTTCTACATTAACGTGTATAGCACAGAAAAGTAAAATGCAGTATTTATGTTAGTCTTCCAAAGTCTATTTTAAATGACTTTGGGTTATAGAGAAATTATTCAGACCCAATATAAGCATTATATTCACAGACTTACAGTATTTCTCTTAAAAGTAGGGCATTACATTTAGAATGATGTTAGGTAAATATGGTAAATAGAATACTCTGAAAAATACCATTTATGAGTTCTATCCGCATATAACAACTCAAGTACTAGAATTAACAAAGATTATTAAGAAAATTGGGGGGGTATAATCTCTTCTGATGATCTATTTTTACATTAAGAATAAACCACCTTCCTTTTTCCATACTATATTCCATGCCTCATATTCAGTTATCTGATGGGTGTTTCCTTTTAAGTCCAGGTCATAGTATCACTCTTGTTTGTGACTTTTTCAATAGCTCTTCGCACAGAAGCTACTGAATTCGTATCAAAAGAACATCACTTTTAAAGTTAGGATATTCCTAATTATGTTTATCTTTTTACCTTACTGCTGTTGGTTAGCATTAGCAGAAAAGATAAAACACTGGATTTTTATAAATTACTGAATAAGAGACTTGTAAGTTCTATGCTTCTGCTAATTTCAACTGACAATAAAATAGAAAGTGCTTACATTCAGACTAGCACCTTCCAATACTCAGGGTACAGGAAATACTGTTTAAGTTTTAAAGACCTCATAGATTTGGAGACAGAGTACTAATAAGAATTGAGCTCTCCTTTTATAATTTTGCCAGGCTACATTAAAAAGCAGCTTCTTTTTGTAGTGTATTGTTTTCCTCTAGCAACATTCAGTGATGAAAAGGGTTTTTTTTTTTAAACTAAAAATATTTAAATTTAGAATAATTTTAACTTTAAAAGAATGGAGGTTTATGAAAAATGCCTGTTACTCATAATACTTACGTCTGTGGAAGCTCGAAGCTGAATGCATATTCATGCCTTCCTGAATGAATAGTGTTGAAGCCTTCTTCTGAATTATCATCATCTAAGACAAACAGAAAAAGAAAACAAAAGACTCGATATTAAACCTTTGCACACTCCTCCCGGTGCCAATACTTAAAGGTACTCCTATAATAATTAAGGCCACAAGCTTTGGAGTCTGAGAGATCTTAATTCTAACTTTTGTCACTTCCTCTGTTTGAACTACAAATCCCAACTCTTCTGTTGCCTCATCTGTAAGGTGGGGATAATCAATACTTATACCCTTAAAGGCAGTTTTTTAATGGTAAATGACCCAAACTGTAAAGCATCTGTATCTAATACAGTGTATGTTCAACAAGAGTCAGAGCTCAAATCTCTCACTTAAGGGTTATCTTTGTCTCCAATGGTTTACTTAAATATTTATCCTAAGACTATATATAAAATAAAAATTGTGCAAACCTTTAAGGTCTGTCAGTTTTGATGCAGATGACATGAATGTTACAATTCTAAAACCATTAGAAAACTTCATCAAATGTTGACGTTAAAAAGAAAAAAGGAACACTGACTTTAATGTCAGTTTCAGAGCTAAAAATAAAAATTCTTTATTGAACCTAAAATGATCACACTAAGTCTGTCCTAGCAACAGCTAGAAATTTGCATATATAAAAAATATATCTTAAGATTTAAAAGGTGCCTGCTTACCGGGAAACACTGTTCCACATCCTTGAAAAATGAACACTAAGTTGTTTCTAACTGCCTTCATTTTATAACCCATTTTCTTTAGGCCAAGTATTTTTAAAATTTCTCCAAAATATATATATTTAACGAAAATGTGGGAGGGGATTCTGGATTCTTTTTTTAGCCTTCTGAGTAGATAGTATAATTAGATAAATGTCTTAGTGATATAGTTTTTCAGCGTAGAAGCCAACATTAACCATGAAAGTAGATGAAATTGGTATTGTCATTTAACTTTTCCACACCAAAGTACTGAAGCTACAGAACGTGATGCTTCCCTTACATCAAAAGAGAAAAGGGGGAAAAAGCGTCTATATGCGCATACTTTTATTCAGAAATCACAATGATTCTCTTTAATCTCAGTACTATTTCCCTCGCCCCTTCTGCAAATCCTCTGAACGAATTTCAGCACCGAAAACTGACTGGTGAGTTGGGGGCCATTTAAATTCGCTCCCCTCGAAGGCGCCCAAAGTTTGCCTCCCTCTCCTTTTCTTCCCTTCTCGCTCCCTTTTTGTGCCAGCTCAGCAGTCTCATTGAGGCGAGCGGCGGCGGCCGCGCCGTGGTAAACAAGTGCCGGGCTGTCAATCAAGAACTAGACCGGAGCAGGAGAGGACCGGCCTAAACCGGCGCGAGCAGATCCCAGCCGGCCCGCCCGCGCGCCGCCGCCGCCGCCCGCGCGCTCCGCTATACATACGGCATACGTCGCGCGGCGCTCGCGCTCGCGCTCGCGCAACCTAGCCTGCTGGACTGGGGGCGGGTCGACGGCACCGCGGCGCTTCCGCTATACACGCCCCAGCCGGTGACCGGTTCGATCTGGCTCGGGCCACCCTGACACCTTTACAGTGTGGTGAGGGAAACGGGGCGGGGGGTGCGTGGGGGCAGGGCTGCACGGTCTCTGGGAAACAATGGGGAGGGGTCAGAGGATACTCGCCGAGGCCCCCATCCAGCTTTCGATGTTCACTTTTCCTTCCCCTCCTGGACAGCCTTTACGTGTAGTCTGTCCCCTCAGGTCAATCAAGGTAGCCGCTCTGGTGACTGCATAGGTCGGGGAACACGCTTTGTTTCAGCTAAGAGGAAATGATCGTTTATAGAAACCACCTGACATCTTCCAGCCGAAAAACAGGAAAATGGGGTCCTGCTAACCCTGCCTACCCAAGTTCCTTCTGCCAGGTTTGTCAGCTAAAGTTACGCCCAGGGGCCCTTCGGCACCTGTAAGGCCAGCAGGAGCTTCTCCCCATCTACTCTGCTGAAACCCCAGATCCCTTCTTTCCGGGGCCCCAAGCGCAGGCCGAGGTGAGGGGCGACAACATTCTGTGACACGAGTCACGGCGCCCCCAGAAGCTCCGGGAGGGACGCGAATAGGGGCGGGGGCAGCCGCTCTGGAGGGACCTTTACCGGCGCACGCCGGTTCCAAGCCTCGCCCCAACCGGCGCGAGCCCACTCTCCCCACCCGCCCGCGCCCAATCCAATCAGAGCCTGGCATCGCCTTAGCAACAGGCTAACAAACGCGGCTCCGCCTATCGCCGGGCGCCCGGGGCGGGGTCTCAGTTACCAGGCTAGTTTGAGAGGTCCCACTTTCAAGTCATTGAAACTATTCCAGCCAAGAGCTCGTCCACGCTTTGCAGGGGTTGAGGGGCATCTCGTGGGGTACGGGGTACATAGTTTTCCTTTACCATGAAATCATGGAGGAACTAATGAAATTGTGTTTGTCACCGTAAGTCGTTATTCTACTTTTATCCCATTGCAAGCCTCAACTCCCTCAAAACCTTTGTTTCTTACCCGTTTTATAAAAAAACCTGCAATGTCCAGAAAGGTTCAAACACAAACTCATATGTGTTTGCTTTTCAACAAATACCAAGGCTGTCATTCGGCATTTACATTTCTTACCAGTGTTACTGCTTGGAAAGATTAACTAAAAATTATTTCAGGATGCAGATTACCTACGTGTAATTGTGAAAAGCCAACTAAAGAACTGATTTCATCTTAATACTTAAAAAAAAAAAAAAGGGAATTACATGCCGTAACTCATAGCATCCTTCATTTCGACACTTGTCTTAGTTCAATTAGCACTTCCTCAGGGATGTGTATTTTTTAACATAAAAAAAGGTTAAAGATGTGCTGTACTAACTGAAAAATCGTCAACATTTGAACTAAATACTGCATTAAAAAGGAGAAGCATAAAATTACATAACCAGTTTTAACATTATATTCTTCTTGGGCTAGGAATTAAGTCATCGCCACCACCTGACGCGTGTAACCAATCTGCTGAGAGCAGAACAAGCGCCCCTCCTCACCACCCCCCAGAACTGGTCCGAAACAGGATTGAACCGCTTCTAACAAAGGGTGGAAACTTGGAAAAACAAGCTTAGAGTCTCCTATATTTCCACAATGTAACCATTTAAACAATAGATTGGAAATCTCAGGACCCCTTCTCCCCTTGACAACCCTTTATCTCCCTTTTCTAACCAAAAATCAAATCCAATGTGCCGAATACTTTTCAATTCCATTTGACTGGCACGGGTTTCATTGAATGCACGTTCCAAAGTTAGGCATCATACTCGGAAAAGAAGAGGACTGACCCGAAATGGTTTCTAAGACTGATTTGAAACCCATCATAATGATAGATACTGTCCTTTAAGAGAGAGAATGCTTGATGTAAATTTATAAAGGATCTGGAGAGAACAGGGAAAAAACACGTGGGGTGTCGATACCATATGTCAAAATAAGCCACAGAAATCCTTTATCAAAGAACAATGATGAATTCCTTAAAGTATTTTGCGTGTCAGTATTAAAAATGAAAACCACCTATTAACCCACTTAAAAATGTTATTCCATTTCTTCTAAGATCTAGGGTTGCAAAGTGCAAGGAAAAAATCGAATATTGCACTGCAGATTTTGGCAATTCATTAGTAAAATAACTGAATGGGATTTAAGTAGAATTTACAAGTAAGGTAGAAAGGTATTGCAAGTGCGTATGGCACAGACCAAGCCGGGTATAGAGGTAGTTGAATAAGTGCAGTTTGCAGTCACTTTGCAGATGCCTGCATGCATTACGGCTTAACCCACGATGAATGTCAAGGAGAACCCAAATCTTCCAACTTTGCTAATCTTTATCTAACTGCTATGTGTTATGCCAGGAGTAGAATTACATTAATTCAGACAAATTGAAAAGGTACTTTCCCAAAGAAAAACAGGTCTAGTTACTTCTGAATAATATATAAAAACTTACCTCTTTCGTGCCCAATTAAGATGTCTTTATGGTTGAAATATTCTACTTCTTCAGTGTAATTCTGTGTATAGGCAGTATTGGAGCCGGCGTTTCTTGATTCCGTCCAGCGTACTTTCGCATGTCCTCTTGCATGAATTTTAAGAGATTTTACTCTGATTTCCCCAGTAACTTCTAAATTCACCCTTCCTGAGACTGTATCCCCACTTGAATACACAGGGACATTGCTGTCATTAAGACAGTCAAAGCTTATTGTCAAACTCTTCACCTTTCCCAGCACCATGTTTATAACAAAATCTATAAAAATATAATGTAAGACAAAAAAGTCAAGATCACATATAAAATGTGATCTTCACCTAACACTGATCGATGTCTTTGCCGTGCAAAAAGCTTGCAGGCAAGATCAGTGATTCTTTACAAATAGTTCATTGAGATTTCTTAAAAAGTCAGGGCAGCAGGGAGGCTGCTCCTCCACGATCCTGCAAGTCTCAGTGGTCTCCTTACAAAGACGGGCGGCTGGAGGCTGCCAGCTCACTTTAAGAGCAGCTTTGTGAAAAACAACCCCAGTGCGCATGCGCACGCCGCGGCTGCTGTCCGCCCTCTCTGCGCGTCCCCTCTCGCGCCCGGCTCGCTCCCTCGCTCGCTCGCTCGCTCGCTCGCGGGTACAGTAGGTGTACGGCTAAGGGAAGAAGACAGTGGGGCTGTCGGGAGGTTGAACCTGACTTCTCTTCATTGTGGGCTCCTATTGGTAGGCAGGCTACCGTAAACCCTCGACGTGCTATCTGGTGCCCCTTACCGAGCACACTCTAATAGATAATGAAAGAGTGGGGTGGGAAGGTGTTTGCAAAGCCAAGTGAGGATAAACTGCTGAGTGACCGGCCGAAGCGTGCGTTACCGGCACTGCAGGGTTTTGCCCACTGCTTGGATGGAAGGTGGAATAAGTGATGTGTGAAGAGAGATGGGGAAAGGGGTGAAAGAAACCGGTTGAGCAAGCGACTGGGGTTGCTGAGCATAATCTACCGAATTTCAAAAGAAAACGTAATAAAAACCAGACAAGAAATAATGATCATAGACAAGAGCATTCTTGACTTGGATTTTTAAAAAGAGCAGTGCGTTGTAGGCAGTGTGGAGATGAACTCAGGCGAGGCCAAAGGAACCTTACAAGAGAATACTATAAGGAGCAAGAAAGAGAAGCAACTATATAAGTTTTGTTTTGTTTTGTTTTGTTTTTTAAATCAGTAGGCTTCGCTTTCTCAACTGTTTTTTTCTTCCATCTCTTAATTAGAAACGAAAAGCAACCAAGTTGTTTGCATGATGACACCAGGGGGAAAAAGGCCTGACCACTTCCTAGAAGGAAGAAAAGAGACTTTTTAAAGACACCACCTACAGCTAGATGTGCAGTGTATGACATGATTACAACTCCTGTGTCCAGAGGATTAAAAATGGAGTTCGGCCTAAAAAAGTACCACCTTAAAAGAAGCAGCATGACACAGTGTTTTAGTTGACATCACGTTCACAACATAATAGAAAAATCTTTGTTAGAAATTAGTGAAGCCTGGAAGATTTTTTTTTTTTTTTTAAAGCATGATTTGGTATATAATAGAGCTATGTTTTGTAAAGTTCTAATAATTTTTACAAAGCCAATAGCCTGAGACTGTTCAACATAGTAATTCTCCTAATACATCTTAAAGACAAGTACATTTATCTCTTTATTGTGAACATTTTGGTAACAAATGGCAAAAAAATCTAGATTTTTGCAATCAGCAGAACTGTTTCTAAGAGGGAAATGTAGAAGGAAAAATATGAATCTGGAACTATATATTCATAAACAAATACACTTTGGAAGATTTTTTGACTGTACTCATTGGTCTTGCTGTTTTCTTGCTTTTGGGGGAAGAAACAATTTTATTTAGTTGGATTTTAGTTGACAAGGCATTTATCTTGGACTCAGCATTATATATAAATATTCGAAGTATTTGGAGAGTTAATGGGCAGGCCATTTATCTCTAACAGAGTTTAGATGGTTATGTTTAAAACTATGAATTTATGTATTTGAGTGGGAAAAATAGTCTTTTTTTTTTTCTCTCCTCTTGGTTGACACCTGGTGGAAATTCTTGTTGTTCAAGTGCTTGGGATCTTGTACTAGCTTTGGTAACAGATACTGCTTGGGTTTTTTCGCCACCTAGTGGTAAAATGGTGAATTTGCTAAAATGTCCTCTTCTCAGCCTTAAGGTTAAATAATATTTATTAAGCATTCAAATGACGTTGGACAAGAAGTGGATATAAAAGTGCAGTAGACAATTAGGTGTTCATTAATAAATTTGTTTTAAATTCTTAAGGGCTAGTGAACAATAGCTGAATTCTTCAGAATTTTTAGTAAAATTTTTCTAGTTGGAACATAACTTATTTCTGAGAAATTAAGAATCAGCTGTTTAAATAAACTAGAATTGCATTTAACCAGAAAGAACCCTAAGAGATTTACTTGTAGTTTGGAAAGTTGTTTTACCATATTAAATGATTCATTCCTGTGATTATAGTGCATTATTCCTTCTCTTTGAAGCTTTTAGGATATTATAAGTTATTGCCTTTATTATTTACTTTGCTATTTCTCTTCATTTTCTTTTTACTATGACTTCCTAAACACTTTGGTAACTGACAAGTTGCCAGGAAATTTTTATCCCCTGTCATTTTTACTTTAGATCATACTCACTTATCCTAATTATCACCTTTCTTCACTTTGGTTTTAGTCACATAACTATTTTTTAAGTGTCTAAACTTGAGTCTACTTGCTTCCTTTTGTTTACCTCCTATTTATTCCAACTATGGAAACACCAGAAACAACAAACAACAAACAAACAACGCTGGCACCTTTAAATTCCTGTTTATGTTTTATTTTTTTTTAAGTTTATTTATTTAAGTAATCTCTACACCCAACGTGGGGTTTAAACTCACAATCCTGAAATCAAGAGTCACATGCCCTTCTGACTGAGCCAGCCAAGTGCCCCTATGCTTTCCTGTCTAAAAGAAAAAACAAAAACCAAACAAACAAAAAAACCACTTGGACTAAATTTTGGACTAAATGTTTTCTTTCACCTGACTTTTGTAACCTCCCTTTTTAAAATTCCATGTCTAAAAATCTGTCTTTTAGATAAGTTGAAATGTACTGTAGCTGCTATCTTGGTCTTCTGAACTTGTCTCACTAGGCCCTCACTGTATTTTGCATTAAGTTTAAGCTATTCATCTTTACCACCAAGGCTCTCTCCTACTGCACCCTAGCCTACGTCTCATATGCCATCTCCTCCTGCTCATCTGCTAACTCTCTGTACTCCTGTCAAGTACATCTTCTGTCCCCTTTGTTAGTCTGTCTCGCTGTTGCCAATGTGAAGTTACATGCTGCTTTTTGTGCCCAGAACAACATCCCACTGCTGTTATCTCCTTTCCCTTTTCCTAACCCCTCTACTAGACTCAGTTGGCACAACTGAATAAAATTCCAAGTAGACAGAGTAACTAGCTCCCCCTTCCCTTTTTATAGTTTTGTCAGAGCTCAAATAGAAATCTGTCTTTACGGTATTTGTTTCTTGGATTTTATATTCAATGGCTGTTGCACCTTATTGTACAAAGGATTAAACTCATTCTCAAGAACTCTGTCTAAAACTGACAAATGATCATCACTATCAAGATATTTAATATTGATGTGGTATGTAAAAATTACTGCCAAGTCTGGAGTTTTTCACATATCAAAATACTCAATATTATTATTGAGAAGAAAAAGGCAAGCCATCTCAACTGAAAATTTTGGTGTATGGTTGTAAGAAAAACCGTATCAGCAATCTTTTAAAAAATATATGAAATCCATGGTTAATCTTAATTTCAGCTAACACTTGATAGGCTTAAATACTGTAGAACTAGGGGCATTGTTTTTGTTTTTTTTGGTCTTAATTTTGTATTTCAAGATTTTGTAACTGACTTAACTCTTTTCTTTCAGATTTTTTTTTTTTTAATTTATTTGAGAGAGAGAACACGAGCAGGGGGAGAAGGAGAGGGAGAAGCAGGCTTCCTGCTGAGTGAGGAGCCCGACATGGGGCCTGATCTCAGGACTCGGAGATCACGACCGAAGCCGAAGATAGACGCTTCATGGACTGAGCCACTCAGGCACCTCTGACTTAACTCTAATATCTTCAAAATGCAGCAATGACTTCAGTGTGGAGACTGGAGGCAAGATTTGCTATAAGTAAAGTGAGTGAGGTTTTTTATATTTGATAATTATATGCTATGTTTGTTATATTTTTTATACCTAATGGATATTTAAATGTGTTGTGAATTTCATTATAAAATTCAATGCCAAATTTCTGTTTCTGTTCTCCCACATTAAGATATAGTATGATATGTATTATGTGAACACTGGTTAATCTTTTATTTTTGATTTCTTGATTAAAATAAAGTCATCCATAATTCTATCCACCCAGAGATACCACTGTTAACATTTTATTACATTTGCATTTGGTGTACAACTAGTAAAGAAAAGCATTGCCTGTGAAGCAAAAACAATGCTTCATATCATTAGAACATTTTTTTTTTTAAAAGATTTTATTTATTTATTTGAGAGAGAGAATGAGAGAGAGCACTTGAGAGGGGGGAGGGTCAGAGGGAGAAGCAGACTCCCCGCCGAGCAGGGAGCCCGATGCGGGACTCGATCCCGGGACTCCAGGATCATGACCTGAGCCGAAGGCAGTCGCTTAACCGACTGAGCCACCCAGGCGCCCTATCATTAGAACATTTTTGACAACAGATTTGATTAATGGCTTCAAGGGAAAATCTCTTGAATGAATTTGTAACACGTAGGTCCTGCTAAGTTAGATAACTTGATAAAGTTTATTCATCCCACCATGAGTGGCATTGGGCCTATGGGAAGGATCGGAAATACTAAGTTCCTTTTTTTTTTTTTTTATAAGATTTTATTTATTTATTAGAGAGTGAGAGAGCGCCCAAACAGCAGGGAGGGACAGTGGGAGAAGCAGACTCCCCACTGAGCAGGGAGCCCAAGGTGGGGCTTGATCCCAGGATTTTGGGATCATGACCTAAGCCGAAGGCAGATGTTTAACTGACTGAGCCACCAAGGTGCCCCAATGCTAAGTTTCTTTTCTGAACTATTTATGACTTTTGAACAAGCACAACAATGTAATGAGGGTAAAAAAAAATTCTAATTATAATAACAAACATTTTCTGATGGATATTGAGTTTTAGTGGCAAAGTATAATTGAATGCAATCAGTTCTCAGTTTTTTTTTTTTTTTACCTCATATTCATATTTTGCTAACTGGAATTTCATATTTGATATCTTACTTAGAGAATGTTGCTTTTCTGGTCATCTACATTTTTCCTGTTGATGAAGAGGATCATTATTATTGGTGATTTTTAAAACCCAAAACTTGATTGAAAATACAGATTCCAGTTCGGAGGGGGGAAAGATGGCAGAGGAGTAGAGGACCCTATTTCAACTGGTCCCCGGAATTGAGCTGGATAGCTACCAGACCGCTCTGAGCACCCACGAAACCAGCCTGAGATGTAAGAAGATCTGATCTCTACAAACAGAATATCGCAGGCAGTTGGTTTTGAGGTACGAAGCGGAGAGCCGTGATCCTGCGGGCAGATATCGGAGGATAAACGGCAGCGGGAGGGTGCCTGGCCGTGGGGATCTACACTGCTGGTGAGCGACAGCCTCGCCCGCTGGGGACTGGGCACAGACTCGCAGACCGGTAGTGGTGGGAAAGGACTTTAGGGCAGCCCCCGGGGCGGAAACCCGGAGCGGCAGGGTCGCGCGGGTGAACTGGGAGCGGCTGGCGGTTTTAGAAGCACAAAGGGCAGAGATGTGCTCCAACCTGGAGGCATGACTGGGGGCGCTGTGGAGCGGCGCACAACCCAGGACGCTGCAGTTTATAGCAGCACGGACAGAATCGGAGACAGTGTGACCCGGAGAGCTCACTGAAGAACAGACTGAGGTCTCTCTGCTCTGAAGCAGAGGGTTGGAAACGGTCTCTTCTGCTCTGACTCATGGAAGAGACGCGGGAAGGTGCCAGGGAAAGCCGCCAGAGAACAAAAGCCCCAAAGACTGATTCCCACTGAGCCCATCCCCCGCCACAGGGGGGCAGGGCAACTCCGCCCAAACAGGGTTGCCTGAGTAACAGCGGGGCAGACCCCTCCCGCAGAAGACAGGCTGGGAAAACAAGAGGCCAGCAACCCTAAGGTCCCAAGAAAACAGGTGCATCTTGCCTGGGTTCTGGTCAATAATTTGGACTCTATACATTCCCTCAAACACCCATCAACAGAATGATTAGGAGGAGGAGCCCCCAAAACAGAAAAGACTCAGAGATTATGACTTATGCTGCAGATTTACAAATGGATGCAGTTATAACCAAGATGTCGGAGATGGAATTCAGGCTAGCAATTGTGAAGACAATGGCTAGAATGGAGAAATCAATTAATGGCAACATAGAGTCTCTAAGGGCAGAAATGAAAGCTGAATTGGCAGAACTTAAAAATGCTATCAATGAGATCCAATCCAATCTAGATGATCTAACAGCTAGGGTAACTGAGACAGAAGAGACAATAAGCAACCTGGAGGACAATATAATAGATAAAAAGGGAAAAGAGGAGGCCAGGGAAAAACAACTCAGAATCCATGAAAATAGAATCAGAGAAATAAGTGACACCATGAGGCGTTCCAATGTCAGAATAATTGGAATCCCGGAGGGAGTGGAGAGAGAGAGAGGACTAGAAGATGTATTTGAGCAAATCATAGCTGAGAACTTCCCTAATGTGGGGTATAAAACAAACATTCGCATCCTAGAGGCAGAGAGGACCCCTCCCAAGATCAAGGAAAACAGGCCAAGACCCTGGCATGTAATAGTAAAACTCGCAAATCTTAGAACCAAGGAAGCCATCTTAAGGACAGTTAGGGGGAAGAGATTCCTTACGTACAGAGGGAGGAACATCAGAATAACGTCAGACCTATCCACAGAGACCTGGCAAACCAGAAAGGCCTGGCAAGACATATTCAGGGTACTAAATGAGAAGAACATGCAGCCAAGAATACTTTATCCAGCAAGGCTTTCATTTAGAATGGATGGAGAGATGCAGAGCTTCCACGACCAGCAGAAACTGAAAGAATATGTGACTGCTAAGCCGGCCCTGCAAGAAATATTAAGGGGGGGTTCTATAAAAGGAGAAAGACCCCAAGAGTGATCTACAACAGAAATTTACAGGGACAATCTATAAAAACAACGTCTTCACAGGCAACATGATGACAATTAATGCATATCTTTCAATAATCACTCTCAACGTGAATGGCCTAAATGCTCCCATAAAACAGCACAGGGTTGCAGATTGAATAAAAAGACAGGACCCATCCATATGCTGTCTACAAGAGACTCATTTTGAACCTAAAGATACATCCAGACTGAAAGTGAAGGGATGGAGATCCATCTTCCATGCCAGCGGACCTCAAAAGAAAGCTGGGATAGCAATTCTTATATCAGACAAATTAGATTTTAAACTAAAGTCTGTAATTAGATACACAAGAAAGACACTATATCATTCTTAAAGGATCTATCCAACAAGAAGATCTAACAATTGTAAATATCTATGCCCCCAACATGGGAGCAGCCATCTACATAAGCCAACTGTTAACCAAAATAAAGAGTCATATTGATAACAACACATTAATTGTAGGAGACCTCAATACTCCACTCTCAGCAATGGACAGATCATCTAAGCAGAAAATCAACAAGGAAACAAGAGCTTTGAATGATACATTGGACCAGATGGACCTCATAGATATTTACAGAACATTCCACCCTAAAACAACAGAATACTCATTCTTCTCGAATGCACATGGAACTTTCTCCAGAATAGACCACACACTGGGTCACAAATCAGGTCTCAACCGATACCGAAAAACTGAGATTATTCTCTGCATATTCTCAGACCACAATGCTCTAAAACTGGAACTCAATCACAAGAAAAAATTTGGAAGAAATTCAAACACTTGGAAGCTAAAGACCACTCTGCTCAAGAATGTTTGGGTCAACCAGGAAATCAAAGAAGAACTTAAACAATTCATGGAAATCAATGAGAATGAAAACACATCGGTCCAAAACCTATGGGATACTGCAAAGGCAGTCCAAAGTGGGAAATACATAGCCATCCAAGCCTCACTCAAAAAAATAGAAAAATCCCAAATTCACCAACTAACTCTACACCTTAAAGAACTAGAGAAAAAGCAACAAACGACGCCTAAGCCACGCATTAGAAGAGAAATAATTAAAATTAGAGCAGAAATCAATGAATTAGAAACCAGAAACACAGTAGATCAGATCAATGAAACTAGAAGTTGGTTCTTTGAAAGAATTAATAAGATTGATAAACCACTGGCCAGACTTATCCAAAAGAAGAGAGAAAGGACCCAAATTAATAAAATTATGAATGAAAGGGGAGAGATCACGACTAACACCAAGGAAATAGAAACAATTATTAGAAATTATTATCAACAACTATATGCCAATAAACTGAGCAATCTGGATGAAATGGAGGCCTTCCTGGAAACCTGTAAGCTGCCAAGACTGAAACAGGAAGAAACTGACAACCTGAATAGGCCAATAACCAGTAAAGAGATTGAAGCAGTGATCAAAAACCTCCCAAAAAACAAGAGTCCAGGGCCTGATGGATTCCCTGGGGAATTCTTCTTTTTTTTTTTTTTTAAGGTTTTATTTATTTATTCATGAGAGACAGAGAGAGAGACAGAGGCAGAGGGAGAAGCAGGCTCCCCACAGAGCAGGGAGCCCGATGCGGGACTCGATCCCAGGACCCTGGGATCATGACCTGAGCTGAAGGCAGATGCTTAACCGACTGAGCCACCCAGGCGTCCTCCCTCGGGAATTCTACCAAACATTCAAAGAAGAAATAATACCTATTCTACTGAAGCTGTTTCAAAAAATAGAAACAGAAGGAAAACTTCCAAACTCATTCTATGAGGCCAGCATTACCTTAATCCCCAAACCAGGCATAGACCCCATCAAAAAGGAGAATTTCAGACCGATATCCTGATGAATATGGATTCCAAAATCCTAAACAAAATCCTAGCTAATAGGATCCAACAATACATTAAAAGAATCATCCACCACGTCCAAGTGGGATTTATCCCCAGGATGCAAGGGTGGTTCAACATTTGCAAATCAATCAATGTGATAGAACACATTAATAAGAGGAGGGAGAAGAACCATATGGTCCTCTCAACTGATGCAGGAAAAGCATTTGACAAAATACAACATTCTTTCCTGATTAAAACTCTTCAGAGTATAGGGATAGAGGGAACATTCCTCAAGTTCACAAAATCCAGCTATGAAAAACCCACAGCGAATATCATCCTCAATGGGGAAAAGCTGAGAGCCTTTCTCTTAAGATCAGGAACACATCAAGGATGCCCACTCTCGCCACTATTGTTCAACATAGTAATAGAAGTCCTAGCAACAGCAATCAGACAACAAAAAGAAATAAAAGGTATTCAAATTGGCAAAGAAGAAGTCAAACTCTCTCTTTTTGCAGACGACATGATACTTTATGTGGAAAACCCAAAAGACTCCACCCCAAATTATTAGAACTCATCCAGCAATTCAGTAAAGTGGCAGGATACAAAATCAATGCACAGAAATCAGTTGCTTTCTTATACACTAACAATGCAACTGTAGAAAGAGAAATTAGAGAAACGATTCCATTTACAATAGCACAAAAACCACAAGATACCTCGGAATAAACCTAACCAAAGAGGTAAAGGATCTATACTCTAGGAATTACAAAACACTCATGAGAGAAATTGAAGAAGACACAAAAAGATGGAAAAACATTCCATGCTCATGGATCAGAAGAATAAACATTGTTAAAATCTCTGCTACCCAGAGCAATCTATACCTTCAGTGCCATCCCAATCAAAATTCCAATGACATTTTTCAAAGTGCTGGAACAAACAATCCTAAAATTTGTATGGAATCAGAAAAGACCCCGAATCGCCAAGGAAATGTTGAAAAAGGAAAACAAAGCTGGGGGCATCACGTTGCCCGATTTCAAGCTATGTTACAAAGCTGTGATCACCAAGACACCATGGTACTGGCACAAAAACAGACATATAGACCAATGGAACAGAATAGAGAACCCAGATATGGACCCTCAACTCTGTGGTCAAATAATCTTTGACAAAGCAGGAAAAAAGACAGTCTCTTCAATAAATGGTGCTGGGAAAATTGGACAGCCACATGCAGAAGAATGAAACTCGACCATTCTCTAACGCCCTTCACAAAGATAAACTCAAAGTGGATGAAAGACTTCAATGTGAGACAGGAATCCATCAAAATCCTAGAGGAGAACATAGGCAGTAACCTCTTTGAGATCGCCCCCAGCAACTACTTTCAAGATACATCTCCAAAAGCTAGTGAAACAAAAGCAAAAATGAACTTTTGGGACTTCATCAAGATAAAAACCTCTGCACAGCAAAGGAAACAGTCAAGAAAACAAAGAGGCAACCCACAGGATGGGAGAAGATATTTGTAAATGACACTACAGATAAAGGGCTGGTATCCAAGATCTATAAAGAACTTCTCAAACTCAACACCCAAAAAACAAATAAGTCAAAAAGTGGGCAGAAGAGATGAACAGACACTTCTCTGAAGAAGACATACAAATGGCTAACAGACACATGAAAAAATGTTCATCATCATTAGCCATCAGGGAAATCCAAATCAAAACCACACTGAGATACCACCTTACACCAGTTAGAATGGCCAAAATGGACAGGGAAAGAAACAACAAATGTTGGAGAGGTTGTGGAGAAAGGGGAACCCTCTTACACTGTTGGTGGGAATGCAAGTTGGGACAGCCACTTTGGAAAACAGTGTGGAGGTTCCTCAAAAATTTAAAAATAGAGCTACCCTATGACCCAGCAATTGCACTCCTGGGTATTTACCCCAAAGACACAGATGTAGTGAAAAGAAGGGCCATATGCACCCCAATGTTCATAGCAGCAATGTCCGCAATAGCCAAACTGTGGAAAGAGCCGAGATGCCCTTCAACAGATGAATGGATAAAGAAGATGTGGTCCATATATACATGGAATATTACTCAGCCATCAGAAAGGATGAATATCCAACTTTTACATCAACATGGATGGGACTGGAGGAGATTATGCTAAGTGAAATAAGTCAAGCAGAGAAAGTCAATTATCATATGGTTTCACTTATTTGTGGAACATAAGGAATAGCATGGGGGACATTAGGAGAAGGAAGGGAAAAATGGGGAGGAGGGAATTGGAGGGAGAGATGAATCATGAGAGACTATGGACTCTGAGAAACAAACTGAGGGTTTTAGAGGGGAGGGGGCAGGGGGGAGGGGGGATTGGTTAGCCCGGTGATGGGTATTAAGGAGGGCACATACTGCATGGAGCAATGGGTGTTATACGAAAACAATGGATCGTGGATCACCACATCAAAAACCAATGATGTATGGTGACTAACATAACATAATAAAATTTAAAAAAAAAATAAATACTTTCCTCCGCGGGAGCCATTGAGGAGCAGCAGCCATGGCTCTGCGCTACTCTATGGCCGTGGGCCTCAACAATGGCCGCAAGGTGACTAAGAACGTGAGCAAGCCAAGGCACAGCCGCCGCCGCGGGCGCCTCACCAAGCACACCAAGTTCGTGCGGGACATGATCCGAGAGGTGTGCGGCTTCGCCCCCTACAAGCGGCGGGCCATGGAGCTGCTCAAGGTCTCCAAGGACAAGCGTGCCCTCAAGTTCATCAAGAAAAGGGTGGGGACACACATCCGCGCCAAGAGGAAGAGAGAGGAGCTGAGCAATGTCCTGGCCGCCATGAGGAAAGCGGCAGCCAAGAAGGACTGAACCACCCCCCCCTCCGCCATGTAATAAAGCCTTTTTGGGTAAATAAATAAATAAATAAATAAATAAATAAATAAAAATAAAACCCAAAACTTGGGGTGCCTGGGTGGCTCAGTCGGTTAAGTGTCTGACTCTTGATTTTGGCTAAGGTCATGATCTGAGGGTCGTGAGTTTGAGCCCAGCATCTGGCTCCGTGCTGGGTGTGGAGCCTGTTTAAGATTCTCTGTCTCCCTCTCTCTGCCCCTCTGCCCCACTTCTCTCTCCCTAAAAAGCAAACAAACAAAAAAAACCCAAACTTGTTGTTTACTGTCACTATTTTTTCAATACTGTTTAATGGAAGCATTTTCCAAGGGTCTGCTATGTAAAGTTAGTTTTATTTATTGTTGTTAATTATTATACTTATGCTATCATAACTTAAAAACTGTAAAAGAGAATTATTGCTTGTCATTCATCTGAAGCAGCTCAGTTTTCATGTTACTATTTTTCCTGTTGTTGAGGAATTTTACTTGCTACCGCTTGAAGAAGTAGCTATGATGAGAGAAGGGTTTGTTGGGAAAATCTGTAAGAAGGAGAGGCAATTTAAGTTTAAAATTTTGCTGGAGACTCACTGCCTCCACAATTCTGAGTTTCAAATGACCTTTTGTTTCAGGGTCAGGAAACAGGTTAGATGATAGCTAAACTTTGAAATCACACATTTAATCTGTGACTTAGTAAATTCACATGCGGCTAATCTACAATTGGTTTTATATTTTTTGTTTTTGCAACATGAACATTTTTTTTTTAGTTCATGCATAAACTACTTAAATCAATACATTTCAGTGGAAACATGAGGCAACTGAAATTTTCTGCCCCAAATTGATATGTAATTGATATAATCCATTGATAATTGATTTTTGTAGTCATGTATGGATTTGAAATTATTTTGCTGTGGAGAGTATGACTGCTTTAATATTTTAGACTTTGAAACATATGAAGCATTTTGTAGACATGAGGTACACATGCTGTTATAAAGATGCACAAAGCCAAGTGTCTGAAGTAAGGAACAGAATTAAATCATGAATAATTTACAAATTGAAATAATATAGTCTGTCTTGGTCTTTAGAAAGTAGGAATAATGCTTTGATAAAGCCAAAATAATTTTGTAAGGTATGGGTTAAAGGCAAAATTTGGAAGCCAGAGTAGATTGCATTTTATATAATAATTTTAATATTTAAATCAAAACTTTTATGCTCTTATACAAGGGAACACCTTATTTCTACCAGAGAGCCCCCCCTTGAATAGGGGGAATCCTTTTAACTTTAATTTTACATTTATTCTCATCTTTTGCTCTCATTTGGATCTGTTTTGGTGAAACCTGGTCGAAGTCCTCAGAAAGGTGAATGTATAAGAAGAAATTGAACTGAGCCTGGCCCCCTCTCTTAGGTCTTTCTGGAAATGAAGAGGAAGGAGAGAAGAACCTTTTAGAGAGAGTCACTTGATAGATAAGTGGCCAGTGGGAGATTGTTGAAGGGAAAGAAGGATTGTAAAATAGAGTCATGATCCTAAAGAGGATAATGTGGGAAAGAACACAAGACCATACTCTTTTTGTTTCTAGTGCTACCCTTTCTCATCTTCATGAACCTCAATGATTTTGTGTTCTAATCACATTGTTTTTTTCAGTCTGTCTCTGCAGTGATGTTCACTCCAAAGGAAATGAAATGAAAGGAAGTGTTGGCTGCTGGCTTGGAGACAGTGGTGGCCAGTCATTAGAGGACAAAGCTGGTTAAGTGAACTATGGAAAAATCACCAAAATATTGGTAAGAAAGACCCATCAGAGAGCAGTGTGAGGGTGAAGGGCAAGAGCTCTGTCTCCTGATGGATATGGGGGCAGAGAAGGATGACAGGAGAGTTATGGTAGGCAGTCCAGAGATTTCCCAGTGGTCAGGCTCATGTTCAGAGAGTGGACATGGCACAGGCATGTCTGATAATGAAAAGCTAGTCAAGGAGACTTTTCAGGGGGTCAGAAAGCCTGGCTGATAACAGAAAATGGGGGGGGGGCAGGGTTGGTGAGATGGAGAAGGTGTTTCTTTTACAGGTATATAGGACATACATACATTGGCCAAGAAATCCAGAAACCTCCAGCTTGTATGCTAAGTGGGGTGTGTGTGTGTGAGAGAGAAAAAGAGGTCATCTTTCTAACAACCAGAATACTAGCATATTTTATGGCAGCCATTGTGCTTTCTACTCATTATCTTATTTGGTCCTCTTCACAGCACTGTGAGGTAAATGCTGTCATATCCATTTTATAAACAAGGAAACAAGCTTGGAATGATGAAGTAACTTGCCCAAACTCATACAGCTAGTAACAGATGATACTGGGATTTGAACCTATGCTCTTAATCAGTAGGCCATGCTGAAAGCAAGGCAGTAGGCTTATTTATCAATAAGCCTCCAAGAAGGCTTCTGTAACCATGCTTCCCTCCCCTAGTTTGGATTAAATGCTTCTCTTCCTTGTTCGGAGCACCTTTTGAAAACCCTATTTCTTAACAATATGTTATTTGGTTTGTTTTACTGTCTCTTCCATAATATTCCAAACCTCTCAGGGGTATTCTTTATGTCTTATCTAGGGCTCAAGTGTTAATAATTGTTATATCTCCAATACTTAGCATAGTGCCTGGCACATAATACACACTCAGTAAATGTTTATTGATATGTGATGAATTGATAAAGGAATATGATCTTTAAACAATTTTCCGTTATAAGATTGTAGAATCTTATGGGAAATTTTTCCAGATACCCACATGAAAGCACATGAGACTGATGAATTAAAAATAAAAGTTCAAACCATCATTTTATAAATGTGTGCTGATTGCCTCAAGGTCATCATCAGGCTGTATTGTCCAATCCCCGTTGAACTAAATAGAGATTACTGCATTTGCTAAAGTAAAGTTTTATGGTTTTAAAGTAATAATCATATTAAAAATAGATATATCCCCTTTCAGCATTTTTGTACTTATACTTGGTACATTATTTACAACTAATGAACGAATTTTGATTGCTTAGGAAACATGCTATTGTACCCCATAGCAGAGAGCAAAATACCTGACTGTAAGAATTTGGGGAAGTTAAATGAATCTTGCAATATTGCTTTCTATATTGTTAACATAGTTCCACAGCTGACATTTATTTATTTATTTTTAAGATTTTATTTATTTATTTGACAGAGAGAGAGAGCACAAGCAGGGGGAGTGGCAGAGGGAGAGGAAGAAGCAGGCTCCCTTCTGGATGCGGGGCTTGATCCACCTGAGCGGTGCACCCAGGCGCCCCAACACAGCTGACATTTAATAAAATTATTCTGAACAGATTTGCAAATAGGTCATAGAAAGGTTTCTTTCAAAGATCTTGATTTTGTAATATTTTATTTGCTGTATATATATGGAGATTATATGTAGGTGATGTCTGTCTTAGAAATTAAAGTCACTAGGGGCACCTGGGTGGCTGAGTCATTAAGCGTCTGCCTTCAGCTCAGGTCATGATCTCAGGGTCCTGGGATGGAGACCCGCATCGGGCTCCCTGCTCAACGGGAAGCCTGCTTCTCCCTCTCCCACTCCTCCACTTGTGTTCCCTCTCTTGCTGTGTCTCTCTCTGTCAAATAAACAAATAAAATCTTTAAAAAAAAGAAATTAAAATCACTAAAAGATTTTCTGAAGACAAACACTTTTTCATTCATAAATTTGGTAAATTTGACAGTTGGGTATGTGAAAACCTGGTCACTAAAAATCTATATTATTTAAAAATGATTTGGATATATTTTCAAATATACTTTTGTTTTTAAAAACAGCAAAATAATTAGATGGAAAATACTATAATATTTGCTGTGGAGAAACAAAATTTTGTGGATTTATGAATGAAAATGTGATTAAATGTTCTGGATTCTTGCAAGAAAGCAGAAAGCTGTGGATTACATTTTTTTAAAGTTTTTATTTAAATTCCTGTTGGTTAACATACATTCGTTTCAGATGTACAATATAGTGATTCATCACTTCCATACATCACTGGGTGCTCCTCATGAGAAGTGCACTCCTTAGTCCCCATCACCTATCTCACCCATCCCCCCACCTTCCCTCTGGTAACCCTCAGTTTGTTCTCTATAGTTAAGAGTCTGTTTCTTGGTTTGTCTCTCTCTCTCTCTTTTTTTTTTTCCGCTTTGCTTGTTTGTTTTATTTTTTAAGTTGCTGTGGATTAAATTTGTTTGTATAAATTTAACTTCTCAACTGGTAAATTAATTTTCCTCCTAGGGATGTATTTAATGTCTTATCTTAGATATTTTACTAAATAAAGGAGCTCAATGATAAAATAATACAATTAACAAAGGTAAAATATGATAGTTAAATTTAGAGACAGTGTGTGGTCAGTGAGTAGAAATGTACAATCACGTAATTCTAAATTTTTACATCTGGCAGCCAGAATTTTTAGTTTAAAATTTAGAAAAGAAAGACAATTTTTAAGAGAGCTGGAAAATACCCACATATGTTTCTTCACAATTATGGGGCTCAGAAGAACTTTAAGTGTATTGTATACAGTGTCCAATCTGTCATTGTAGGGCCCATTAATTAAATTGTTTTTCTTTTTTACAATAGGGTTTTTTTTCCCCCAAGCAATGTTTAGTTATTAATAAACAACTATTTAAATGATAGAAACATTGTTTTCCACAAATTTATGTATTTGGCGCTCATTGTTTTATAGTATTTTAAAAGCATATTTTCTTATAAATATACTATATTATCATACAGTATATATGTAGAATTTGCTGTGGGGACTGATACATGTTTACTCGCTAGGACAGAGAGGAAAGAAATATTCCATACCTGAGCAGTGCTAGTAGTTTCTGGTATTATCTCATTTCTCAGAAGATAACTTTCTGTTAGAACATGTTTGTTTTTAAAAAAGCAAATAAATAAAATGAAAAACAATTATTGTGAAGAGACTTGTGATATTTGTGTTAAGAAGAGACAGTCTTTATCTCTGATAAGTAGGGTACATAAAAAAAAAATCAGAAGATTGGCTATGAAAAGAAGACAATTTTAAGGAGCTCTAGAGGAAAAAAAATGCTTTCAACTATTTACAAAATTCTTAAAACATAAAATGATGAATATGGTGGGCTAAGTCTTTACTTGCTTTATATCATTTGATCATAACAATAAAGCAATTATCTTCTCTTAAGATGGGGAAATTGAGGCTTAGGTCTTGTAGCTTCCTCAAGGTCACACCCCAAGTGGCAAAGTTACTTTTACAGAGTTTACTGTTTAAGGGGGAATATAAGCAAATAGTTACAATGAAGACATGTGTGCAATAGATATATGTTACTAATAGGACTAGCATAGTGTTAGGAAGCATCTAGCAAAGGTATTAAATCCTGATCCAGTGCTCAGGCAGACCCTTCCCAGAAGAGTTAAGATTCACTAGAAATGAGAGGGAAGTCAGGATCAATCTAGTGAAGTAAACAGAACATAAGATTCATTGTCCTAGTTGGGACACTACTGAGCCTGAAAGGGAGGCCAATAATAACCATGTTTGTACAACAGAAATAAACAACCATCCTGGGCAAACCAGAATGTGTGGCAGTATAAGGAGTTTGGTCTTCATTCTAGAAGCCTTCAAGAACACTGAAGGATTTTATAAGGAATAACATGAACAGGTTTATGTTTTGGAATACTGAGACTGATAGTGAAAAATGGTTGGAGGAAACCTGTAGATTATTTTAAGAGGCTGTTTCAGTAACACCGGATAGTGATGATGGTGGCCAGAATTGGATAGTATTAGACTAAAGGGAAATGGCTTAAGTTCAAGTGATATTTAGGATGTAGAATCATTAGAACTTGGTGTGTAATTGGATATGGGTACAGAGGGAGACATATTAATTGGATGTATATTGTAGTGGAGGGAAGGGAAGTCAAGGATGACACTGGATTTCTGGATTAACAACTTGAGTGAATGGTGGAGCCATTCACTGAGATGAAGAATATGGGGAGGAGTGAGGATGATGATGAATTTACTTTTGTTCAGTTTTATATTTGTTCATTTTTAATTTTATTGATTTTTAAAATTTTGAAACAATAAAAAATGTATAGAAAATTTGCAGGCACAGTACACAGACCATTTTTTTTCCAAAACCATTTGAAAGTAACTTGCCAGTATGATGCTCCACCACTCCCAAATACTTTACTATGTATGTCCTATCAGTAGGGACATTTTGCCTGCTTAACTATAATACAACCATAAAAATCAATGATGTTATACATTACTTCTATCTGATTCTCAAATCCCAATCAAGTTTGCCACTTACCTCAGTCCTGTCCTTTAAAACAGAAGGATATAGTTAAGAGTCACTTGTTGCATATAGTTGTAATACCTCTTTAGTCTCTTTCAGTAGGAGGCAGCAATAAACTTTTTTCTAGTCTTCAGTGACCTTGACATTTTGAAGATTACAGACCAGTTATTTTCTAGAATGTACCTCTGGGCCTTTTCCAACTACAGAGAGTTAGACTCTAACATCTTAGGGCATCTGTTGTATGAAAAAATTAACTTCTTTCAATACACCTGGAATGGTTTTAATTATGTACTATTCTTGAGAGAGTTGCAAAAATGGTCACTGTGTTCTTTCGTTCATTTGAAAAAGACTGAATTAATAGAGTTTGAGAGGAATACCTCAAAAGTGATGCTGTTTTCTCCTCATTGAATCCTATCAGATAACACAGAGTTTTGATTTGTCCCATTACTAATGCTCACTTGATTAAGGATGTGTCTCTTAGGATTCTCAACTATTTAGTTTTTTTGTTCTCTGTTGGTAATTAGTAAGTATTTTGTAGGGAAGTTCTCTAAGACTTTGTAAATAGCCCATTTCTCATTAAACTTCCAATTTACTCATTTATTTATTTATAGTAATAGTGATTAATATGGGTCTTAATTCTTTACTGTCATTTATCTTGGTATTCAGATTGTTCCTGATTTAGCTAGTGGAAGATCTTTGCAGATGGTTTATGTTTTCTCTTGACACGTCTCCATTACTTTTTTTTTTTTTTAAGATTTTATTTATTTATTTGACAGAGAGCACAAGCATGGGTAGCAGGGAGAAGCAGGCTCCCTGCTGAGAGCCTGATATGGGGCTCGATTCTAGGACCCTGGGATCATGACCCGAGCCTAAGGCAGATGCATAACCCACTTAGCCACTCAGGTGCCCCCCATTACTTTTTTATTTGTTTCTTTCTGGCATAAGATATGAACAAGGTCATCTTGTACTTTCTCTACCCTAGCCCTGGAATTAGCCATTTTAGCCCTGAGTAACATTTAATGGAGAATAACATTTAATGGAGAATAACATTTAGAAGACAAAGTCTGGGCACTAGATGTGTTCTTTGCTTTTGGAGTGTGGTGCTTTGAAGTTTTTCAGTGGAGAGAGCTAAGATATATATGCCTGTATATATGAATGTCCAGATATTTGCATTTCATCTATCCATCTATTAAACCATGAATGTATACTGATAGTATGAGTTTTAATCTAGCACCTCAGGGTTTATTCTAATTTTCTCCCTTTCCATATAAGTAGCCCCCTTCCTTGCTGCTGAAAAACTGTCTCCCATTGGCCTAATTGGGTTACTTATTTTCCAAATCTTTCTGTGTGTAATCAGCCTCTCCTTTCCACTGCTATCCTCTCTCCTCTGTAGGTGCACTATCGCCCTGTACAGGCTGTGTCATCCATACGAGACTGCTCTTCTGTGTGAACAAATCCTCACCCTACTCAGGCTTGGCCACTGTACTGACCTTTGTGTGGAGACATTTCTACCCAGGCGGTATCAGGTAGGCTCCCCACTTCTAACTCCTTCCACAGCAGGGTAGATATGCGATTATTTCAGTTTAGTTGTGAATGAAAAAAAAGGGTGGTAGCTAAAAGGTCACTCATTCAGGAAAGACTTTTTTTGATCAGATGCCAATCTGAGGGCAAATTTAAAGATATAGAAGAGATAGGATTAATTTTAAGTGTGAGAAAAGTCCAACTTCCCACTTCAATAGAATGGGAGGAGGAATGGCTTCAATACAGGTTAGTTTGAGAATTTCCTGGCTGGAAGAGGAATGACTTTCTATCTTACGGCTTTTAGTTTCTCTGTGCAGAGATTGCTGAGAAGGAGTGATTTAGTTGGAGGTTTGAGGAAAGTAGAGAGGGTTTTGAATCACTGTAGAGAATGTGAAAGTGAAATGAGCAAAAACAGAACAAACACAAATTTCTGAGTATTATGGAAGATCTGAGAATTGAAACTGAGAATGAGTTGAGACTCCCACCTGAATGGTTGCAGTGTTTTCTCCAGCAAGCACCAGTGCTAGGAGTGGAGAAGGCAGTTTCTATCAGGCAGTTAAATGGCACAAGTAAGCTGAAGATACTGGGTAGAGAGAGGTTGATGCGAAGGAAATGAATGTTGAATATTGAAATGAGTAGTTATTATTTTTGTTTTAAAGATTTTATTTATTTATTTGACAGAGAGAGACAGCAAGAGCAGGAACACAAGCAGGGGGAGTGGGAGAGGGAGAAGCAGGCTTCCCATAGAGTAGGGAACCCGATGCGGGGCTGGATCCCAGGACCCTGGGATCATGGCCTGAGCCGAAGGCAGATGCTTAACGACTGAGCCACCCAAGTGCCTGAAATGAATAGTTATTAAGAAAAGAAAGGAAGAGAGGAGGGGTCTGGAAGAAAGATAGTAAGTGGGTCAATGGCCTATCTCGAAGTCCTTGTGTGACTTGGTCCCAAGCAATCAGAAACCCACTCTAATTTAAGGGTATTTGTATAGGGGTAGGGAGGGGAAGGATTTGTTATGAGTATATTGAGTAGCTCACAGAATTAAGTCAGGCTGAACAATCATGTCTTAGAAATACAGGAAGCATGTGGCTTTGATGTTGTGGGTATTAGGAAACCTCTTCAGGTGACCAGTACTGGAATGAATCAGTTCAAGCTCTACTATCATCTGTTCTTGTGTTACTGCTCAGGATTCAGATACCAAGAAGAAAACTTAGTTTAAATGGCTTGGGTCTTGTGTTCACCTCCTTGGCCAGGAGATTAGGGTTCTACCAAGAAGGCATGAAATGGGTTAGAAGTAATTCCTAAAGGAAAACAAGCGTACTGTTAAGAGAAGAATGGATGCTTTTGGTGCCAAAAACAGGAGATGTTCAGCATTGGTAGATTGCATGTATGGTATTAAATTTATGTAGGATAAAGCTTAATTTCATATGGAGAGAAAGGTGAATAGAATGCTAATCATTTTTTTACTTTTATTTTTTTTACAAAAATAATACATGTACCTTGTAAAAATAATTAAAACTATTCCCCTCCCCCATATCTTCAATGAATGTGATAATAAGACAGCAAAAGGGAGAAGTGGGTGGGTGATAGAATTGTTACAGGATGTAAAAATAATTAAAACTATTCCCCTCCCCCATATCTTCAATGAATGTGATAATAAGACAGCAAAAGGGAGAAGTGGGTGGGTGATCGAATTATTACAGTATTTCTTTTCCTTCGGTGCCCACAGTTCTTAGTCACACTGCTTTGAGGAATGAAGAGGTAGACCAGACAGAGAGGTGAGCAACAAAGCAAAGCTTATTGAACGATAGTAAAGTGATAGCACAGGGCGCCTGGGTGGCTCAGTCGGTTAAGCGACTGCCTTCGGCTCAGGTCATGATCCTGGAGTCCCGGGATCAAGTCCCGCATCGGGCTCCCTGCTCGGCAGGGAGTCTGCTTCTCCCTCTGACCCTCCCCCCTCTCCTGCTCTCTCTCTCTCATTCTCTCTCTCAAATAAATAAATAAAATCTTAAAAAAAAAAAAGTGATAGCACAAAAATCTTCTGAAAATGGAGGGGACCTGAGAGGGTTGCCACTGGAATTTCTAAGTCTTGGGGTTTTTATGGGCTGGTTGGCGGGCTGTTTTAATCTGATTAACTCTCCAGGAGCCTGTCATCCAATCAGGTTTTTGTCATCCATCTATCAGGTGGGAAAGGGTGGAGGGCTCCGTCCAGGGTGGGTGTAAAATCCTCCTAAGGGTGGTTTCCTCTTAGGGCGGGGCCTTTGTCCTTGCCTGTCTTTCTTCCAGCTGTCCTTAATCAGAACGATTTGAAAGTCATGATACGAACATTTTCTATGGTTCAGATCTGTCGTGTACACTGTGGATATGAAAGTGAATAAAGAGAATTTGGTCTTTTGCTTGTAAGGTAAAATTCAAAACAGTACATTGAAAACTTGAAGGTCTTAATACAAATCCAAGATTTGTTTTACTAAAAATGTCTCTCTTTTTTAAGGATTTTATTTATGTATTTATTTACGGGGGTGGGGGGGGTGGGAGGGAGGAGCAGAAGGAGAGGGAATGGGAAATAATCTCAAGCAGACTTCACGCCAAGCACTGTTGCACCCTGGGCTTGATCCCACAATCCCCAGATCGGGACCCAGAGATCACGACCGAAGCCAAAACCGAGTCAGACGCTCAACTGACTGAGCCACCCAGGTACCCCTAAAAATGTCTCCTTTTAACAAAGACAGGTAAATAAGTATGTGTCTTCAACTTATATAATAAAGTCAAATATGAATTTTTTTTAGTCTTTTAAAATTTCCTTTCTTAATTCCTACATTTAAGAATGGGCTTTTTTTTTTGTTATTGTTGTTCTTTTCATTGTCCACTATTTTTGAGGCAATTTTTATCCTTTTATCCCCCCAAGCCCCTCCCAGCCTGCTTTAGAAAGTCAGCATTTTAGTGTAAACAGTTTTATTGAGTAGACTCTACTTGGTAAATATTAACACAATAATGCTTTCATTTTTCTCCAGTCACAATTCTCAGTAGTGCTTTGTAGAAATCTCCCAAGACAATTTCTTGGGCATATTCCATGTCTTTCTCATCACTTTCAGTTGTTAAAAAAAAAAAAAAAGAAGCAAAACCAAACTAATTTCACTCCATTGTAAAAATCCAGTCTCAAATCTGATTGAAATACAATCCTTTCAGTTCCCTCTACTAGCATCTAACTCCTTTGTTGGGGAGGAGGAATATGAGAAATGGCAGGGGTTGCTTATTGGAGAGGAGGAAGTACTGCTGCCCATAAGAAAGTGCATGACTCTGTTGCGGCTGGTGGTCACTGAGGATGTGGTAGTCTCCTCATAACTTTCTGCAGTTTTTAGCACTGTGTAGCTTCACCTTGGAGGATATGGTACCTCTCTGAGGATATGGCAGAGGAGGCACCCATGTCTTCCTTTAGTCCTGCCTTTGGTCCACATTCCACCTCCCATAGGAAGCAAGCTTTCAGATAACCCTAGGGGTTGGACTTTCCCCTCTGTCCTCTATATTCCTTTGTATTGAGTCAAACACAGAGGTCCTCCGCTGCACCTTCTGATAGATCAGGAAACTGGGAACAAGTTGGAAGTTTCCTCCATGTTTTTCTTAAATTCCCTATAACATGGTCTCGTTTTGTCCCTCTCTCCTGGGCTCAGCCAGCATGTCCTTCTCCTTCAAAATCTCCAGAAAAGACATAGGTCAGGTTCTCTGTCAGAGTCCCTCATGGGGCTCCCTGCACTTTGAAGGTAGCTTCAAGCTGGTCTCTTGGTCCCTGACTGTAAATATTTAGCTAAGTAGTAGGCTGTCAGTCTGTCTGCCTTGCGAGAACTCACATTCTGTATTTCACTGGAACTCCCTCTTCACTTGGCTTCGGGTGGGTTGAGGGGATGAACTTTTCTGCCCACTTAGGGCTGACATGTTGGTTGGGAATAGAGGTGGTTCCTTTGCCTGTGAATAAGTCCCCAGGAAGGCTTTTGGCCCCAGTGGTTGGAGAGGCCTATATTTATTTATTTATTTATTTTTTTAGATTTTATTTATTTGAGAGAGCACGAGCAAGCACAAGCAGGGAGGAGCGGCAGGCAGAGGGAGGGGGAGAAGCAGGCTCCCCACTGAGCAGGAAGCCGGATGCAGGCTGATCCCAGGACACTGGGATCATGACCTGAGCCGAAGGCAGACGCTTAACCAACTGAGCCACCCAGGTGCCTAGAGAGGCCTTTAAAAGTATGGAATCCTTATACTATTTTATCATCATTTTTCAGCCAGAATAACCAATTCTAAGACAAAGAGAGAAATCCCATTCAATATTCTATTATTAGAGCACAAAACTAAAGTAAATGATACCCTTCATTCTTACTTGACTTTGCCTTATGTAATGAAAAGAAAAAAAAATACAAAGTAACCCACAGGATATGGCGAACCAAATTTTTTCAGTGCCTAAGATTTTAAGTTAGGTATGTTTAGAGCAGCATTGATTTTCCAAGGTCATCAGAAGTACTATTAGTGAATAATATTATAGTTGTTTTGTCTGATTTCCTGTTGGAATACGGCAGGTATAAGATGGGTGTCAGAGTGAGGGAGAGGAGTTAGGCCTATTATTAAATCATTGGTCAGTCAAGAATATAACTCAGTAATAATGTTTAACTGTTTTTATTAGTAGGCTTTGAATATAATAAGCAGGATTGGCATTGATTTAAAAACAATAAACATATTTCCCTTTAAGAAAACCTTTGAAAGATTTTTAAAAAATTTAAATGGATGTTAAAATGTACTTGTTAATCTTATGCCTCATAGTCCCCTTAACAGAGATTTGAATATAGAAGTATTTTAGGTTCTGGCTTAAATATGAAGATGATTTTAAGCATTCCCAATGGCAAACAAATAATAATGATTATCATTCCCAGAGCAGTACTGTCTTCAAACTTTCTCAGCTGAATTCTTTCTGAGTGACATTTCTGCTATCCATATCCTTCTTGTTAAGAACTCAATAATGGACTAG